CTTCTTCCCCCGCACTGCTGCGACACTGCCACTGGAAGTTGAAAAGAATTTTCTAATAAACTGAAAAAAAAAATTAAAATTGAAGATTTAAAAATTGGGAAAAAATAAAATTAAAAATTATTATTTAAGAGTTGAAAAAAGGCTAAAATATGAACGAAAAAATTGAAAAAAATTAAAAAATTTGAAAAGGGATTTTTCTTAAAAAAAAGAAATGCAGACATTTTAAAAATTTAAGAATTTATAAGAGTTCTTGGCCCTTTATAAAGTAATATGTACTTCTTTTTTATTGGAAGTCTCAGGCTATTTTTTAGGAGATACTTTGCTCTACTCCCTGCCTTGAAAATTTATCCCTGTCCACAAGAGTTTTGTATTTCAAAACATTTTGAAAGCGACTTTAAAAATATTGTAAAAAAAATATTGCAGTCTCTGTCTATTTGTAATCCACACAAGAAGGTAGAATGATAATTGGCAATAAAAGCAGTTCAGGGCAATCTAGGTAATTTACCATCTAGGTAATAAAAAAGTACAACACTGCTGTAAAACTTTACAATAGTTGTAAACAACTTTCTAAAATGTTCAGTCAGTTTTCTCAGGATCATTCAATATAAAGACTGGAATCCTTACAAATCCTTATAAATATGCAGAGAGATAAAGAAAAAGAAAACAGATCTGCACTTCATTTATCAGAGAAAGAGAGTGAGGAAAAAAATATTCATGCAATGAGATCTGTATTCACTTTGCAATTATGTTTATATAAGCATGCTCTGTTAATGGTAAAAAGAACTATGCAGTCAATATTGAAGAAAAACAGTTCAGTCTATATAAAGAAAATTTTCTCGATGCTAAAAAACTTTGTCAATTCTGGTATTCTCTCAATGTCATCAGGAGAACAAAGGAACAAAGGAACTGCAGTCTGATTACGCTACAAAGCAGAACTCACCAGAATCAACTTTGCATCCAAATAAATGATTGATTTCCAAGATTTTTCTTCTTTCCAAAGTCCAGCCTTTTGCTCCATTCACTTTTCCCCCCCTGTGGTTGCAATTCTGTGCATGTTTGGGGTTTTGTTTTGTTTTTTTGGTTTTTAATTAGATTATTCAGCAGAGCCCCACTTCTGCATGTCGCTCTCCAAAGGTTCTCGCTATATTAAAGTCTTGATCTTAATATATTTTTGTTTTACATTCTTTATTTAAGGAGCTATTTCCCGACCACAAGATGGCAGAAGAAGATAAAATTTATCTAAAAGAGAACAACTAATATCCTGAGAGCTCTGTTATAATTTTACTATCACTATAATATTTCTCCTTTTAGCTATTTGCAATGCTATTAAAATAAGTCTCACCCTCTATTTGTTGTGAAATTATTTAATATATTATTTTAAAGCAATTACACATATTTTCAATATGCTATTGTTAGTGTTCTGAAATGTTAGAAAAACAACAGGTTATTTATATTAATATCTAAGGATGACATAATTTTTAAAGAATTCAAAAGTGGAACCTATCAACTATTCCTATCAATAACAATAAAATCTAAACCCACAGGTATATGTATACTTAATGGGAGAGGGGGATTTATCTTAATTTATTGCCTTAGCAGAAGACAATAATTAAGCAAGCTTACCTTGAAAAACGTTAAACAAGAGTTTAGGCCTGATGAATGTTGGGAGGAAGGAGTGCCAGGAAATACCAAGATGTAGGCAAGACTGGAAAACTGAGAAAACAATGAACTAAAACAGGGGTGGGTTCTAAAATTTTTTACTACTGGTTCTGTGGGCATAGCTTATTTTGTGGGCATGGCTTGGAGGTCATGTGACTGGGTGGGCGTGGCTAGCTGGTCATGTGACCAGGTGGCCATGTCTATGTGTATAGGGACTACTCAGAGGACTGAAAAAAGTCATTTCTGACAGGTCCTCGCACTTTTGACTGATCCTCACACTTATGACCATCCTCACATTTATGTCCGTGCAGCATTCTTAACAACTGTGTCACTCATTTCACAACTGCTTCTCTTCATCATGGTGACAAATAGGGCAAAAACGTAAAATGTGAGGACAGTCTTAAGTTCGAGAACTGGTCAAAAGTGTGAGGACCAGTCAAAAATAACTTTTTCAGCCCTCTGAGTAGTCCATATGCACAAAAGAATACAGCAATAGAGAGGGATGAAGGAAGGAGAAGAGAGATGGAAGAAGGAAGGAGAGAGAGGGAAGGAAGAGAAGGGAGGAAGGAAGGGAAGGGAAATTAGAGTAGGAGTGAGGGGAAGAGAGGGAGGAAGAGAGGAGGAGAAGGAGAAAGGAAGAGGAAGTAGGGAGGAGAAGAAGGGGGGGAAGAGAAAGTAAGAAGGAAAGAAAAGAGAGGGGTGGTAGGTTTGAGGAGAAAGATTGCTGTACAATAAAAAAGATGAAAGGGAAGAAAGCCAACCCCAAACAAATATAAAGATATTAAGATAAAGAATGAATTGTTAAACTTTAAAGAATAAAAGAGAACAAATATGAATAAATAGCAATAATTAGAAACACACATACAAACATACAATGTATTTTCTTTGAACAGAGTATTTGGCCGGTTCACAAATTTAAACAGTGTTTAGTCATTTCAATTAAATTTACAATTTCTATATTTCCTTTTTGCCATATTTATTCCTCATCTGTCTTTTTAAAAAACCAATATTACCCTTCATCCTCATCTCTAATCTTAATCAAATTCAATTTTTCCCTTCTATTCTATATTATACCCCTTCCCATTGTCATCTATTTTTATATCCATCCTCACATTGGTTAATTATGTAATATTACAGTTGTTTAATACAAATTCAACATTTTAATATAAATCAATTAGTTATATAACTATCTTTTTTGTATATTAATCAATATGAACATGAATATTCCAATTATTTCCATGCAATCCAATTTCTTACAAATCAATTAATTATATTTACCAATAATAATAAACCAAATAATTTCCCCCATATATTCCTCCAAACCACAACTTAACCATTTCTGCTTTCAACAGAATATACTGTACAATTAATAGTATCTCAATTATTACAATTCCCTAGTTAAATAGAGCTTTTTTTCTTTTGTGTTTTAAAATCTTGAACTCTCCTCTTTTGCTCTAAATTTCCCATTGTTTGCACCTACCTTTTTTGGTGAGGAAAAAGAAAAAGAAAACTCACTCTGCCTCATTTTGTCATGTTGCAGCAAAGACCCTGCTTTACTTTCAGTTTTGCTTTTTCAGCATAGCTAGGGGGAAAAAAATCTGTTCCAGCACTCTTTGTAGCTAGCAACAGAGCCCTGCGCAAAACAGCTGAGAGCAAATCAGCTGAAAGTCGGGAGGCCGATCTAATCAACTCGTGCTAATTAACCTATGCTGAAGCTGAAAGGGGCTGTTTTTTCTTGCTGTTTGCTTGCAAGGAGGTAACTGCTGCAAGGCACAGGCCAAAGGTTGGGGGCCACCCTCCTTGCCATTTAGCCCCCCGTATCGCCCCCTTTTGCCTCTAGCGCCCCTCTGCCACCCCCTTGCCTCTTACCGCCCCCCTAAGGCATCCCACCGCCCACTTTGGCAACCACTGGCTTAACTACTTAACAACCAGTTCTACCGAAGTAGAATCCCACCACTGGGTCTACCCATTTATTTTTGCAGGCACCGGTCTACTCATTTGTTTTCTTTTAACACTGATCAGCTGTAGGGCGGCCCTTTGAAGTCCCGCAGCAAGAGTTTAAACAGTTTTTTTTCCCTCTAGCCATCATCTGGGACTCAGGAGGCAGCAATAGATTGGGAGTGGGCAGGGTAAGCGAATGGCGACCGGACCGGGAACCGGTTTCGGGGCATAGCCAGCCAATCTTATTACCGGTTCTCAGAACTATTAAAATTTTTTACTATGGTTCTTGCGAACCGGTGCGAACCGGTGCAAACCACCACTGAACTAAAACAATGGCAAACTATTATATTGTTCTAAGATAGCTACATGGTGTTCATAAAACCCCCAAGAGCTAGCTTGATGTGAAGGTGACATGATATGACTTAATTTACTACAGATGAATTTTGTGTGGATGGCTTTTCTCTAATTTGATTGAATTGTTGACTGTAACCAATGACAATGTTTTCTTTTTCCTAACCAGTTTATCAAAGTTCCTGCAAGATTAATGCATAGTTTATGGACTTAAACAATTAAAAAAAATTAAAAGCAACTGGTTTTCAAATTTACATTCTTGCGAAGTGATGCACTCAGTGCTTTGTAGAACTGTAGTACAAGTATGTTTTTAGGCAGAAAAACAATGATTCATACATTGTTGGTAGCAAAGAGAAACTGACTGGAAATGCATTTTAATGTAAGAATGAGAGGAGAGGAAAATTAAAGACCTAAACTGGCTTTCCCCTATATTTTGCAGCCTTCCCAGAATTAAAAAAAATAAAAATGTTCAAGATTTAGTCATACCTACATTGGCTTTGTTGGACTAACTAATGAAGGATAGCTGATGAAAGTAAAGGTGAATTAATATGCCATTACAGGAAATGCAGTTATTTCATTTATTATTCTGGAACCTAAACAGGTAGTCCTCAACTCAAAGCCACAATTGGGACCAGAATTTCTGTTGCTAGCCAAGGCAGTTGTTAAGTAAGTCATGCCTGATTTTATGACTTTTTTTTGCCAATGGTTGTTAAGTGAATCACTCCAGTTGCTAAGTGAGTCATGTGGTCATTAAACAAATCTGGCTTCCCCCATTGGCTATGCTTGCTGGAAGCCAGCTGGAAAGGTCACGAATGGTGATCTTTTGATTCAGAGCTGCTGTGACCATTGTAAATATGTGTCGGTTGCCAAGCATCCAAATTTTGATCATGTGATCCTGGGAATGCTGTGATGGTCATAACTTTGATCACCAGAATTAAGTCATTTTTTTTCAGTGCCACTTTAACTTCAAACAGTTGCTACATGAATGGTTGTAAGTCAAGGACTACCTGTATTTGGATTTTTGTAAATTATACAAAAATAAAAATTACCCTTCCTCAAGGCTCTCAAATTCTGCTTGGCATGGCGATGCAGCTCCTCTACACATGCTGGTCTGGTGGAAGGAAGGAAAATGTTTCTCTCCTGATGCCAAGGGGCATGATAATACACATTCAGTTTGCTTTCTGCATCCAGGTTTGAGACAGCTGTAGAAACAAATGAAGAAGATACTTAAAGAGATTCCCAGTAATGGCCCAATCCTAGGCAGCGACAGATGTTTCTTTATCAGGGCGCAAAGAAAAAATATATGCTGCAAACTCCGCTTAGGCGTCAGGAAGGGCATCCAGCCAGTAAATGCTAAGCTCCATTCAGTCACCCCAACTCCACTCCCATAAAAGTTATTATAGGGTCATAAAAATAAAAACAAATATGTGTGTGTGTGTATTTTGCAAATCTGAATTTTAAAGAAACTCAGCTTAAGTAAACTATGAATATAACAGAAGGAGAAACTAAGCAAAACATAACAAATATTACATTATCTTTGGTTATTATTTATGTATACAGTGCCATAATTTTATATTATGAATCTGATAAATCACCCAATTTTATTTTCAATTCATTATTTCACCAGTTAAATATATTTTATAGTTTGTAAACTGAACAAGTTTCCTAGAATATATTTCTACCATTCACCAGTGATCTCATTCATTCATGGTTCTTCATCATATTCTTCCATAATTGTATTCTTTTCATGATTCTCTTTAGAGATAGTATGGTGTTACATCTTCATGAATAAGAACCATTCCAAGAATGGAATGCCATTCCATTGTCAGAATACAAAACCAAGGCTTACAAGGTCTAGCAATGAGTGAATTTATTAATCAATAAACATAATGTTGCTGATGTTGCAGAAATTGTGGAACTCTGACCATTTGGGGCTGGCTACATTGGCAGGACAAGGGGATGTACATGCATCATAACACAACTGGAACAAATTAATGCAAAATATGGACTTAGTGGGAGGCATAGGTTAGATTAGGATAATTCATTTTGTGACTGAATTTAGACAAACTCCAAAGAAAACGTAAATAAAATGTGAAAAAAATATGATTGGAATTTGTAAATCAGATTTCCAATCGGAAACTGATACAAGCATGCTATCTCACGCATATTCTGCATAGAATAATATAGTGGCCATATGTCTAGAAATCTATAATGGGTGAATGTTGTAGGTGGCCAAAAATATTACCATATATATATTACCATATATAAGACACATGAATACCAAGCAACATAGACTGAATTAATACACTAATTAATATGTTTCAGAGAAGCCCTAATCACATTAGACTTTTGTAGAAATGCATGACACAGCCAAGTAGAAAGACTATTGCTGTAGACTAGTACTGTTAAAAAATGTTTATTGTTATGTAATTTGAAAATAAAAAAGAAAATTGAAAAAAAAGAAAGAAAGACTATTGCTAAGCAATCAGGACTTTTAAGATCCCTAACATTAAATTATCCCCAACAATATCATTTTATTCAGTCCCTAACGTAATAAAAATTAATAAAATAGGCCAGGTGAACCTAAATATGGAATCAGAAATAAGTATTTCGTTAAGGGAAACAAGGAGCATTTTGGGAAAAAGGTGTGACAATAACACTAGTTAAGATTAAAGAATAATCAATAAAGTTTTCTAACAATATATAAAGAGAGGAGTAGTTATATTGGAGCATGAGATGATTCTTTGGTGCCTGGAAGATTTGAAGATAGTTTCTTGGGATTGTCAAAATGTTCCAAATTATCTACAAGTAGTCCTCGATTTATAATCATAATGGAACCTGCCCATTAAAGTTGCCAATGGTGATGGCTGTTAAATGAAATGGACTTGCTTAATGATCCCCATCCCTACTCTCCCTAATGCAACTGTGAAACAAAGGTGTGGGTTGTTAAATAGAGCATGGGGTGCCTTGAGGATGAGGGAGGCTCTAGGACACCAGTTTGCTCTAGTGGTTAAGGCACTAGGCTAGAGACTGGGAGGCCGTAAATTCAAATTCTGCCTTAGCTGTGAAAGCCAGCTTGGTGACCTCGGGCCAATCACTCTCTCTCAGCCCAACCCACCTCACAGGCTTTTTATTATGGGAAAAATAGGAGGAGAGAGGAGTACAGGTAGTCCTCAATTTACAACTGTTCATTTAGTAACCATTTAAAGTTACAACAGCACTGAAGAAAAGTGACATGACCATTTTTCATACTTACAACCATAGCAGCAACTCCGTGGTCATATGATCAAAATGTAGATGCTTGACAACTGACTCATATTTTGCAGTTTCCTGGGGTTATGTGATCATTTTTTGTGACCTTCTGACAAGTAAAGTTAATGGGGAAGCAAGATTCACTTCACAACCTTGCTATGAACTTAACAATTACAGTGATTCACTTAACTGTGGCAACAAAAGTTGTAAAATGGGGCAAAACTCACTTAACAAGTATCTTGCTTAGCAATAGAAATTTTGGGCTCAATTGTGGTCATAAGTTCAGGACTGACTGTATTAAGTATGTTCACTTCCATGAGTTATTTGTAAAAATAATAAAGGTGAGATACAAGTAGATAAATACAATTTTTATTTTGGAAATCAGGTTTTTGGTCTTCCAAAAGTCTTTTGTTGTTCCAAGCATCTATGTTCCAAATGTGCTTTTCAAAAGGCAACTGAAAAGCACCTTTGGGATAATCATGCTCTGGATGATTAAGAATCTCCATAGACATCTAAGCATCTATGTATTGCATCAGCAAACTGTGCATGAAATATAACAGAAAGCCTAAATCAAGTACCTGACTTTTTTTTTTAAATTACATTTATTGTGCCTCATACAAAGGACAGATGTATCATATCAACCAAACTCTGAGGTCGACAATTTTTCCTGAATGGATGACATTGAGCATTTTCTATCCTAAATTCCTATCCTAAGCCATACAGATATAACTGTCTGGTTATATAAGTGTTGGTGTAAATCAAATTATCACACACCAATTGCTTATTTATATGTCTACACTGCCCAACTTGAAAATGACTCTGGACACTTCACAGGATTAAAAGATACAACTATACAATAAACAAAACCACACAATATTCTATAAAACATAATTGACATATGAGAGAACTACAAAACTTAAAATATCTCAACATCATTTAATAGATGAGTATTACATTTTGATTATATGAATAGAAATCTGGCATATTGAATAAATACCAGTGTTGTTAAAAACTCTTTTAAAAATGGTTTAGAAAACTGTGCCAGCCATTGACTTGTTATTGTTTCCATTTCCCTAACACTCTCATGATTCAATACAGATAGGTTAATGTAAAATAAACAGCATGGTATGTTTTAAAAATAATATATGGTTAGATCTTGATAGGACTTATGCACCCATTTATGCATGATGGCCAAACCCAAGTACTTCAAAACAGTAATAGTACATACCTATTTCTTAATTAGGAGCATTGGTGAAGGTTTTGTTAAAAAAATTCCAGTCACTAAATACTAATTTAAAAAAGTATAAACAACAACAACTTTTAAAGTTAGATGAGGATAAATTGTAACAAGAGGAAAAGAAATTGAATCCATAGCCAGAGAAAAATAGACTGATGGGCAGAAACTGAACTGGAGACCCTGTTTTGCACATGGAGAGTTTTAGATTTAACTTGTATGGTCTCTTAAAGGGGCTGAGAACAATTCTTATTTGAAATCATGGATGACTGTTTCCCATCAGTGTCAATAAAACTCAAGTAACAACCCCTTATAGGCTTTTTGCATAAAAAATGAACATAAAAAATGAGCCCCTTTAGAAGACCATAGGAGTTAAATTTTGATGATTAGGAAGGCTAGAAAGAAGAGAAACAAGATGTAAGCTTAGAAAGAGAAGTTAAAATGTAATTGTACTTAGAGCTGCTGCAAAGATCAGAAGCCACTTCTTTATATCTTTTTATACTTTTTTACTACATTATTTACTATTCCAGTTTTTCTTTTTTACCTTCCTGTTACCTTTTGTTTTGTTTTGCATTTCTTTTATTTCTCCTGTTTTCTTTCTCCTTTCTTGTTCTACTTTGCACTGGTTCTTATTATTGTTGTTAAGACTCTTAATAAAAAATAGGTATACCTAAAAAGTACTTAAGTAGTAGATGGATACAGGTAATCCTCTTATGACCAGTTGCTTAGCAATCATTTGAAGTTATGACAGATCCACCCAAAGCTTTCTTATGATCCAATTTCAAAGTTATGGCAGCTATGTTGCCTCCATGGTTGTTTACCCTTATGACTGATTTCAGGGATGATGCAACCCCTCCCCCCCCACTTATGTCTCCCACCCATCCCATCGGGGCACACTGATCTTTGGCCTGCTCACAACCCACCACTCAACCACCTAAGGGAGGCTAAAGTTTGGCAGCAGAAGCTACCAGGAAGTTGGGGTGGGGGTGAAAACTCATTATCATTTAACCTTTTCTTTCTCTTTCCCTCTCTCATATACATAGACACAGAAGGAAGGACACAAGGTAGTAAGCCCTTTACTATGAATCAACTCATTGGACAATTTGACAACCAGGAATTTATTGTATAATCTCAGGGAAATGTGTAATTTCTTTTTTCAGTTTCACATGTAATAAGGAAACAATAAAAAGAATGCAATAACAATTTTTTTGGTGTTCAATAGCTGCCAAACAAATAATAAAATCATTCTAATAAAAATGATACAATATTTTATGGAACTTTGAAGTGCTACAATATTCAGTATGATCTGTAAGATAATCTTCTTACAAAATCCCACACCAGGGATCCTACTGAATCTACTTACTATTGTGGCTCCGTCCTCCGAGCCTATCTTATCGGAGGAAGAAAGCTCCGAACATGAAGGAGAGGAGACGGCCAGGCCTCCCTCTCCAGGACCCTCCTCTCTGGCAATGCCTCAGGTGTCTCCCGAAGGAGAAGAGATTGGCCAGGAGCCAGGTGTTTCCGAGCCGTTGGATAGTGACGAAGAAACATTGTGGTTGGACCCACGCCAGCGTCGGAGAGACAAGCGTGCGCAGCAGAAAAGGAGGCGTGCCAGAGATTAAGCTGAGTCACGGGACCACACCCCACAGGCTATAAAAGGGAGTGTGGTGGCCATTCGGACTCTGTGATGGACAAAGCTAATCTCTGGTGAGGCAC